GTCCAGCTTATTGAGTTTTGATAATTCTTTATATAGTATAGATACAGTGGTAGTGCTTGGTTAGATACATGATTTACAAATATTTTCTCCTGATCTGAAGCTTATCTTTTTAGCCTCTTAACAGAGTTCACAGGGCAAAAAGTTTTGATTTTACAAGTCAAATTTATAAAATTTTCCTTTTTCAGATTCATGCTTTTGGTGTCAAGCCCAACAACTTTTGCCCAATCCTAGATTTGGAAGATTTTCTCCTTGATTTTAAAAAGTTAAAGTATAGTTTTTACATCATTAGTAGAAAAAACCTTGAACTTCAGACCTTCAACCTATTAAAACATACTTCAATAATGTTAAGTATATTTACGTGTTTTGTGTATGTCACTGCTATCTGATTTTTTTTTTTTTTTGTCATTCTGAGTGGAAATCCTGTATCTACTTTCTTCTGCCTTCTTTTTGCAGCTCAACTGGCAACTACTAATCTGTCTGTATGGAATTACCTGTTCTGGATGTTTCATATAAATGATTTTTGTGACTGACCTTTTTACTTAAAACATATCTTTTTCAAGGCTTATCCTACTGTATCAGGAATTCAAGTCCTTTTTATAGATGAATAACGTTCTAGTGAATTTTGTTTATCTGTTCATCAGTTGATGGACATTTAGATTGTTTCTAGTTCTTGACAGTTATAAAAATGTTGCTGTGAACATTTATATAATGGTTTTTCTGTAGCATGTGTTTTTAGTTCTCTTGAGTATATGACTAGGAGTGGAATTACTCAGTCATGGTAACTTTTATGTTTAGTTATTTCTGGAGCTGCCAGATTGTTTTCAAAGTGACCACACTATTTTATCACCCACCAACAATACATGGAATTTTTTTGTATCCTATTTCTTTTCATTTTCTTTTTTTTAGTAGTCAGAGTTTTAGATCTTTCATTTAACTCCATGACCCATTTTTAACTGATTTTTGTAAGATATGTGCCTTAGAAGTTTCTTTGATTTTAATCTTATGGATATTTTATTGTTCTAGCACCATTTGTTGAAAAAGCTACCTCTCTTCCACTGGCTTGTTTTCGTTACTTTACTCAGAATCATTTGAGCATATTTGTGAGAGCCTGTTTCTTGGTTCTCAGTTCTGTTCCATTGATCTGTATGTTTTAGCCTACTGCCAGTACCATACAGTCTCAATACTTAGGCTAAATAGTAAGTCTTGTAAATAAAAGTACTTACAAAAATATTTTAACTGTTCTAGGTCTTTTGCTTCTCCATGTATATTTTAGAATTGAATTGTGTATATCTATGCAAAATCTTGATATTTTGCACTGAGTCTAATTTTGGGGAGAATTGATGTCCTTTGGCTACAGAGCTAACTTTTTGAGGCTTCCTTTTGTCACTACCCATGGATGTTTCTAGGTTGCTGACTTCTGCAGCTCTAAGACTGGTATATGTATGCAGTGAGAAGGAAACCTAGAGAAAAGCCCATTATGTGGTTGCTTGAATCTGAGGTCCCGAGGTGCTCTCTATACTCCTGTCTACTTTCAACATTTTCTAATATTTGTTTTATAAATTGTGTCCAAAATTTAGCAGGATGAATAGGAAAAATTATATCTACTCCATCTTCCTAAAAGTGGGAAGTTATACCTCCTAAATTTACAGTTGGTTTTCAAGGTCATTTTATATTAGTACATAAATTGCACAAGAAATCTTTCAAGTTATTGCTTTGTATTTTATGAATATATCATAAACTTTTAAAAGCCAGTCTCCTCCCATGATTTAAATTGTCTTCAGTCTTTTTCTTTTATAAATAGTACTTCTGTGAATAACTTTGTATATGCATATTTATCAGATTGCATATGTGCTAGTAGGGGGGCTAAAAGCTAACTTCCTAGGACTGCTAGGCCAAAGTGGGTGTGTAGTTTATATTTTGATAGGTGGTGATAAATGCCTTCTACAGAGATTGATTGTCAGTCTGAATCTCCCTCAGTGTTATCTACTGAGGCAGGATTTCTGGTTCTGTGAGACAGAGCCCTGGAAAGGATAGTTTGAATCACCAGATCTCAGCATGCAACTCTGATGTTATCTAAGGTGTCATAAATGGATATAATTTTATATACAGTTGTCCAAAATAAGGAGTTCATTCTGATTCATAATTCACATAGGGAGATTTTTGAATAACTGCTGTGTATGGTACACTTGATAGCAGATTTTGTAATACTTCATTCTAGTCAAGTGAATTTATATTTTCTTCACAAGGTTTTTCTGTGATGGTAAATTGTCATTTGGGTCTGAATTATGCTGTGGCTGGTGATGTTAAGCAGTGTATCAATTAAGCAATTTCTCTCAATTTAATGAATCATTCAATTACACAGACATTGCATTTGATTTGTAAAAACTTATTCACTAGTTTGCTGTTATGATTTTTAGCATAAGTATTCTCCAAGGGATTTTTCCTTCTCTGATTAAATACATGGGAGTAATAGGTAAACTGCTAGTGTTGTCATTTTGAATGCAGTTCAGCTGAGTATATATTATGCACACTTTAGGTCTTTATTTTTTTTGCCCAACACACTGTTCATGTTGTTGTGTATAACAATACACACCTTCTTACTGTTTTATAGTATTCCACTGTATGAATAGGCCACAGGTTTTTTTTTTTTTTCTTTTGTAGAATTGATTATTTACAGCTTCTGGTTATTATAAATAGGATTGCTGTGTGTATTTTGGTATACTCTCCTTGGTGGTCATATCTTGCTATTTGTTCTAATATCTTTAATCATGATTATTTTAATCTTATAGCATTCTCTGCTGAATGTTTTCCTTTGTTTTCTGTAAGTTAGCCATCTCTTAAAATTTATTTGAGGCGTGGGGATTTAGCTCAGTGGTGTAAGTACCTGCCTGGCAGGCACGAGGCTGTGAGTTTGATCTCTAGTACAAAACAAAATTTATTTGAATGAGAAGTCTTTGTTTTATGATCTATGTGGTTTTGGATCATGATCATAGTTATGAAGAAGTAATAAGAAATATTTGGTACATAATGACTGGATGGCAAACTAGATGTGGTTAGAATTTTATTGCAATGTCCTGTTCCTTAAAGTTGACATTTGACTTCTTCTCAATGTCTCTGGCAGAAGATAACCATAGTTTCCAACTCCACAGTTCTGTAGTTCACATTCCCAATTCATAGAACCTTCTCCACCTCATCTGTTTGGTCCAAGAGTACTCAAGGCTGCCTTGACAGCTTGATGGAGGGAAGACTGTCCCAAGAATTTGTTTACAGTGCCTGTTAACTGTGGATGTATGTGTGTCGTTCATTAATGGAAATATGTCTTTCCAAACAGGTATATGCAGTTAATTGCAATTAATGGTGGAAATTAATATTCTGTAGTCAGTTTATCTTCTATAATTTGGGAACTTTTCCCAGTGCAAAGATCTTCCTTCCACAGTAGCTGTCATAGGTGACATTTATAGATATCTGAATGGTAACATCATAAAAGTATTAGTAAATAATATTTCTTTTACTGTAACACTTGTTAAAGTCATGGTTAATTAGTATACTTTTTGAGTTAAAATCATATTCCAGTATCCTACTTGCCCACCTTCTGACCAAATTTAAAATATGTAGTTTAATGTGTATTCTTCTATTCCTCCAACCCTGGAAAATGTTACCAACCATAATTTACATAAAATTAATTCAATATGAATTTCCTTTTTTAAAACAATGGCCTTTTTCTTGTATTTAAAATGTAAAAATTTTCCTTTATTTTCTTTCTGTCCTCAAAAACCCACTGTGGGTGATACTGTTTTTGCTCATATACAGCTTTATCAGGTATGACTCCTGAATGTCATGTTGGACTTCACAAATGTGTTGTTTTACTTCTTAAGAATAAAACTTTTCATACTAATTCTTCCACATTTATTTGACCGGTATTTGAGTATCTCACAAATGTAACTGGACTTGAAGCTTTAAAATGGTCTTTATCAAAAACAAGGTTGCTAGATTTATTACATCAGTACTTCAAAGAGAAGTTTAAGGTGTTTTCTCTAAAAATATTACTCTTGCGTGTTTCTACTTTCCACACTATTAATCTATGTATAATTCTCCATGTTTTTCCTGTTTATTTGTGTGTTTGCATTCATATCTGTGTTGTTCTTAACATATATATGTTTTTAAAACTAACATATTCCCAATGAACTCATTTCTAACTGTGATAACATATTCCTGTGCAGGGTTTTCTCAAACTGTGTTCTATGAAATATATTAATCTCAGATACTAAGTAGAATGGTATAAAAAAGTATTATCAAATAAGTTTACTCTACCTAAACCTAAGAGACTCACAGGGTGCACTAGGATAGTAAAGATTCTGGTTTTATGCAGTAAAGAAATTGGCTTCATCTCCATATCTTCCAGAAATCTTTGAGTGTGGAACACTTCATAATACAGAGGGGTGTTCTGAGCATACTGATTTGAGGAATAGAGCAAAAACTGTGAATAAAGATTTCTTTGTAGTGTTTTAAAACATGAAATAGCTGAGCGTGGAGTCCTATGTGTGTAATTCCAGCATTCTGGGAGACTGAGGCACAGGATTCCAAGTTTGAACCTAGCTTGGGCAACTTAATGACTTAGTGAGATAATCTCAAAATAAAAAAGAGGTGGAGATGTGGCTCAGTGTGAAGTGGCTGAGTTCAGTCCCCAGTACTACAAAAGGCAAACAAACACACACACACACAAAAACCAACCAATAAGCAAAATCCATTGCATATTATTGAATTTTCAAAACTTTGAAGCATTTAGCTGAATTGTATTTTGGAAGTATGCTTTCTTAGATTGTATTTTGAAGTACAGTATTGCTTTTTTTGGGGTGGTCTTTAAAGAGAATTTGTAAAATTGTAAAATTATACTTTTTGTTGGAAAGAAGCTTTTTTGTTTTTGTCACTATTGTTGTTTTCTTATTTCTATTCCATAAAAAATTTGCTTTTATCTTCAAAAAATACGTTTACTGTTTCAGATAGCATGACACAGGAAAGGAGGCCTCCCAAACTTGCCTTTATGTCACGAGGTGTTGGGGACAAAGGTTTATCCAGTCACAATAAACCAAAGGTTACAGGTATGGATTAATAAGATGCAGTTCTTGGTAATTTACACAATACTTGATTTTCCCAGGCATTAAAAAAGGTTCTAAACTACACTATGACGTATACATAGACTTACTTCTTTTAAACATTTTTAAGTGGATAGTGTTGCTAAAACCATCAATTCCCTACCTTTTATCTAATAAGTTTCCTGTAGTACTTGAATGTTTTGCTGGTCCATGATCAGTTGATTTTGGAAGCCTCTGTTTTTGAAGTGTGTGTGTGTTTGCACACGCGCGTGTGCATGCACACATGTATACATAGCATAATGTTGCAACTGTGTAATCATATAGGAAAGAGTTATGTAGGTTAAAGTTCACTGGAGATAATATGGATTTTGCTAACTAGATGTGACACAAATTAAATTCCAAACTGCTAAGCAAAAATTTTTGTCTGTCTTCCAGAACTTCCTCATGATGCATGTTGAATGTACTTCTTTTTCTGTTGGCTGTGCCATATTCTGTAGATTTATAGGGTGGTAGTTAAACAAATCCAACAGCTCATTTAGAAAGCAGCACTCTGAGAGGCTGAGACAGGAGGATCACAAGTTTGATTTCAGCCTAAAACTTAACAATTTAGTGAGATCCTATCTTAAAAAATACAAGAAGGGGCTTATATTCATTCCTTCCTTCCTTGATTCCCTTCTTCCCTGTCTTCTTGCTTACTCTCTTTCCTCTTCTTCTCTTCAACCTTTTCTTTCCTTCTTTTTCCTCTTCCTCATTCACCTCTTCCTCCTCCTATTCCCCCTTTCCTGTCTTCCCCTACTCTCCTGTCTCTGTCCATCTGTTTTCTTTCTTTCTTTCTTTCTTTCTTTCTTTCTTTCTTTCTTTCTTTCTTTCTTTCTTTCTTTCTTTCTTTCTTTCTTTCTTTCTTTCTTTCTTTCTTTCTTTCTTTCTTTCTTTCTTTCTTTCTCCTTCCTTCCTTCCTTCCTTCCTTCCTCTTCCTTCTTCTCCCCCCCCCCGCCTCCTCTTCCTTCTTTTCATATTGGTTATTATTTTTCCAAGGATGGCTTTGACCTCTTGGCCTCTTGCCTTAGCCTCCTGAATAGCTGGAACTACTGGTGCATGCCCGTGATGGAGTATCAATTATGTTACGCAGGTCTGAGTTACAGGTACAGAATGTAGAGCTATCCACTTGAAATGAGGGCATGGACTTGGCTTCTGTGTGGGTTCTGAAGACTCATTGCTCTCTGCTGAGACATGCTTAGGGAACACGTGTCTGGAAATGTCTGTGGCACAACTGTACTAACTCTTACATTTAATAATGTAGAAGAAATAATTGTGCTACACTTTTCAGACATGATGAAATGAAGTGATAAATTTGTTGATCAACAGTTCTAAAACATTTAAATATTGAATCATTTTTCTTTAAAAATTTTTAATTTATATGTTTGTATGCCCAGCATTGGGCCTAACACCTTGTGTGTGGTAAGCAGGTGCTCTGTCCCTGGGATACATCCTCAGCCTAAACTTTTACATCTTTTCAAACTTAATTTATGCACTAATCTGTAATACAGCATTTTAAGATTATGTTCTTCTGACAGCAATTGGTTTAAAATACATTCAGGTATCACTTCTGACAAGAATACATTTTGAGAATCGTGTCATTAGGTGATTTTGTCTTTGTGTGAACATCACAGAGTGTACACAAACCCAGCTGGTATAGTCTGCTACATACCTAAACACTGTCATATGTATGTCTGTCCTTTATTGAAACATTGTTATGTGATGCATGGCTGAGACAGTTAAATTTGTGAACCAGTAGATTGATCACATGCAGTGGGGAATGGTAATCTTTAGAAATAAACTATACCGTATGGAATGATTTCTTGGAGCAGTTTGCATTGAAAAAACTGAGCAGGCTTTAATTTTTCCTGTTCCCTTCCTGCCTTGACTCTAAAGGGTCACCAATATTTTAAAAGCTGAAGACAATAATAAAATATGTTGTGTTTGTATTCATCTACAGGTTGTACAAACAGGTGTTAACATTATATGCATATTAATTTGTCTTATTAAAAAACTGTTACAACATACTGACTGTATTTTTAAAGAAAACTTTTCTTGTCTCCTAGGATCTACCTCAGACCCTGGAAATAGAAATAGATCTGAATTATTTTATACCTTAAATGGGTCTTCTGTTGACTCACAGCCACAATCCAAATCAAAAAATACATGGTACATTGATGAAGGTAATCTATAATTTTAGTGTTCTTTATAATGAACTCATGTATTTAACTCATCAGAAAAAAAGGATTTAGAAAATCAGTATTTGCAGTTTTTTGAAACAGAATATATAGACTTTTGTTAATATTGTTAAATTAAAATGTACACAATTTGAGCTGCAATGCTGTTAAGATTAGTAAAACATTTAAAATGTTTAGTAGCTTGCTCTCTTAATGATCTACTCAGAGTACAAGATCTCTAAAATCAATTGAATTATTTGAAAGCTTTTCTGTCTGGGTCTGTCTTGATCTCTTTAAAGCACTCCCTTTAAAAAATTCCACATTCCCTTGGTTCTGGTACATCTTTTTCTTCTGGCATGTTCATTTTCTTGTCCATCTGTTCAGCAAATATTTATTGAGGTTTATTATATGCCAGACATTCTCTGAGGTTATAGTGCTGAGAAAAAAAAATGACATTGTCCTTGCCCTTTTTGGGTTTACAGTCAATCTGTTAGGTAAAAATTATTCAAAAGCACATGTGGAGTTGCAGTGGAATCAGGGCAATGACTGGAATTCTGTGGGTGATTTTTCCTAGGAGCATGAGTGTCTTCAGGGAGAATGACAGCTGCCTAAGTTCACAGAGTAGTAGATGGCACAGTGACAGAGGACAGAAGGGCATTTTAGGCAGAGGGAACAGCATATGAGAAGGCCTGTGGAAGAATGAAGTTTACTGTTTTCTAAGCCCAAAAGACTTACTCTAGCTAGAGCAGAGACAGACATGACTTGTAATGAGATGAAAACAGAGTGGCAGCAGAGCCAGGCCATATGGATGGATCCTGGAGTGCCCCATGAAAAAGAAGTGGCGAGCTACTGGAGGATTTTCAGCAACAGATGGAGTGGCTAGGTTTGCCTCTTGGAAAGGTCATTCTGGATATCGGGCAGACAGTAGGTTGAAATGGGGATAGTGTGAATGTAAAACCACCTCTGAAGGTCTCATAACTGGTTGCAGTATCTGGGCCTAGACTTGGGGGAAGACATGGAGAGAAGTGGATAGATCTGAGATTCAGTCGAATGGACAGGACTTATGTAGGGATGGAAGGAGAAATTTTGGAGAAAAACCGTGTCAGTGGTGACCTCTGATTTACTGGCTTGCATACTTAGATGGTGGTACAAGAAGGGGAAGAACTTGATTTTGAACACTTTGAATTGAAGGGACCTTGTCAGCTTCCTAGAAGGGAATCATCAAGTGGGCAATTGGATGTGTGAGTTTGGAGCTTAGAAGAGAGATAAGAGCTAGAGAAAGAAATGCATAGGTTGTCATCACAAAGTGGTTAAAGTCCTTTGACTAGTATTCGGTAAGGACAGAGAACATGGAGGACATAGGTTGTGACTGAACCCTGAGGAGCTTAATGGCTAGGGTGAAGGAAGATAAACCATCAAAGAAGACAGAGGAAGAATGTAGAGGGAAAATCAAGAAGCCAAGGAGCAAATGGACAGCATATTGAATGCTGAGAGGGCAAGCAAGGTAAAGACCACAAGATATCCACTGGATTTAGTCAACAAGTCACTGATGGCCTTCATAGTTCTCTCATGGGAAGAAATTTCATCAGAGGCCAGATTGGAGTGTGCTGAGGGTATGGGGCAAAGACATAGAGACAGGAGGCAGAAGTGTGAAACGTGAGTATGGGTGCATCTCCCTACTTCTCCCTCTCTCTCAGTCATATCCACTTATCACCAAGCCCTCTTGACTTCTTCATCCTTAATATCACTGGACTCTCTCCCTGCTTCTTCATTTCTAACAACCATGATATTAATTCAGATCTTTGGTTTGTTCTTTTCTGGAATAGTATGGAGGCGTTTAACTAGTTTCCTTTTATCAGAATGATTCTTTTTAAACTTCGTTCAGGATAACAGCCACACCATCATCGTCGTAGTCATCATCTTCATCATCATTGAGCTGACATTTCTTGACCACTTATGATATGCCATTATGATGTTTATATACTTTGCTTTATTTTATCCTTATAGCAAATTTATGAAGTAGATACTTTACATACATGTTAGTTACAGTAGTTAAATAGCTTTCACAGTGTTGCATGTCTAATAATAGTTGAGTCAGTGTTCAGCCAAGATCTGTTTCTGAAGATGTGTCTGTCCATGCCTTTGCACAATATATGGCAATGTTTCCCTACTCTTGAAGATAAGCATCCAAATCCTGACTTTGGCATGGTGGACTCTTTATGGTGTGGCCTCTATCTCAGTTCTGTTCTGTTTTCCTGCTGCATCCACATTGGACCGATTCCTTTATTAGGATACACTGTTCTTTCTGTGTCTCTGTCTCAGTCTCGCTTCTGTTCTTTTTTCCTGCTGCAGCTACTTTGGACTGGCTCCAGTCTCTGTCTCTGTCTCTCTGTATTGCTTCTACTGCCTGGAAGTCATTATCATTCTTCCAGGTTCATGGTCTGACTTACTACTATTTGTCTCTGAAATGTCAGCTCTTTAGTTTGTCTGTAAAGCCTTTCCTTTGTTCTTCTGCCTCTCCTTGGTTACATCAAATGTCCTCAAAGCAGTTTTGCTTTGTCTTTCTCCTCAGCCAGACTGTGAGCTCCTATGCTCAGCACAGGGCTTGAAAGTCAGTAGTTTCAGCAACTGTGTGCAAAGTAAATGAAAATACGAATTTATAGTATTAGAGATCTCTATAATAGATGCGTACAGGACCCATCCTGCTATGCTGTGGTGTAGTCCACTCTTGCCCTGATGTTACTGGTAGATTTGTTAATGTTTAATGGGCCCAGTTTTTTCTAAGGAAAGGAAGCTAGCAATCATAATCTAGGCAGTACCAATTATTCAGGTTTATGCTATAATTTTATCTTTTTTATTCTTAATATGGATTCAGTATTGCACGAGAATGTTCCTGTCTTGGTTACTTTTCTCTCATTGCTGAGACAAAATACCTGATGCCCAAAGTGAAGCAAGGAAAGTTTTATTTAGCTTACAGTTTTTGGAAGTTTTAGTTCATACTCAGCTGGCTCCAAGGCAGGGTGGCGTGGTTGAAGGACAGCCATTCGTGATGGCTGCAAGCAACAAGAGTGAAAGGACAAAAGAGGGAGATATGGCTCCTTCCTTCCCTTATGTTGTATGCTGGCTTGCCATCCTGGGTGGGTGCAGCACTCACATTGCCAGTCCCAGAGCTAGACAACAGTCACAAATGCTAGGTTCAGTTGCCTCTGCGATTGCATGAGGCTGTAGGGGGATGTTTAAACAAACCACACCATTCCACCCTTGACCCCCTAAAGACTCATGTACATCCTTTATGCAAAAGACATTTAGTCCATCTCCAAGTGTTGCTAATGTCCTAACAGTTTCAGCATTGCTGAAAAGTTTAAGTCCCATGACTCCACCAAGATCTAAGGCAAACTCTTAGCTGTAACCCTCTGTACAAATGAAAACAAAGTTAAACACTTCCAACGTTTAGAGGTACAAGCTAAACATTACCATTCCAAAGAGTGCAAATGGAGATAAAACAGAATGGGACCAAAGCAAGTCTAAATCCAGCATGGCAATCATTAAGTCCTGTATTTTCACACTGAGCATTTGAAACGATCTGATTGTGAGCTCCAAAAGGCTTGAGTGACTCCACCTCTACCGCACTTTTGGTGATTTTAGCTCCCATGGCTTTTCTCTTAGGTCCACTCCACTCAGTCCTTGCAGCTTTTCTTAGATGATCTACGCTTCTGGCTTTTCCAAAACTCTGGGTTCTCCATTGCACCTTTGGCTTCACAGTCATAGCTTCACACACTTCCTGGCCTCCCAGGCCTTCTGAAATCAGGTGGAAGCTGCCTTAACCTCAGAACTTGTATATTCTCTATGTGCCTAAAACTAGCATCACATGGATACTGTCAAGGTCTTGCTGCCAGTTGGAGCAGTAGCCAGGCTTTCCTTTCTTTTGGCTTAAGGGGTTAAGTGCTTGGACCGGTGAGTATTCAGAACTTGATTGTGAGGAACAAATTCTCTATATCGCTGCCATTCTGGAACCTGGTGCAGCTATCACCATCTTGGGACAATGTGTGTTCTCTTCTGCCATTCTGGAGCATGGTGATTTGCAGCTTTTTCCTCCAAGCAAAGCTTTTCACTTTTGCAGTTTTGAGACTACAAAGCTTGGGGACCGGCTGCCTCTTTCTATGATGCCTGCAGGCCATCTTTTTAATTTTATGTTTCTTCTCAGTATTCCAGATCTCAGCTCTATCTTTAAAGTCCATAGCTTTCTGGCCAAACTCAAAATGTTTTAAATCATCATTCTGGGCTCTTTGCTCTTGATTCACAACATAAATCCGCTAAAAGCCCCCCAACAATAGCCATGTCACAGCCTCAACATTCGAGTGCCTTGAAATTTCTTCTGCCCAATTAATTAGTCTGCTGTTTTTAATCTTAGTCTCAGACAATCTCTGGACAGGAGCAAAATGTAGACAAACTTTTTGGTAAGCCATAACACACACCATCTGGAGTCCAATAATCAGTGCAGTCCTTTTTCCCAGCAAGAAACTCTTGAGCCTGGTCTTTACCAGCAGGTTACCAGCCTTCTGGTCTTCTGAGCTCTGATCAGTATCTCCCATTCAGAACAACCTGAAGCTTTCCAGGGCTACTCTTTCAGGTGACATCTCTGAACCTTTTCAAACTCTTTACACAAACCATTCCCAAAGGCTCTTGAACCACATGGTCAGATATAGTCAAAACAAGCCCACTCCTCTGGTATCAAATTCTTTGTCTTGGTTACTTTTTTCTCATTGTTGAAAGAACCTGATGCCCAAAGTGAAGCAAGGGAAGGTTTATTTAACTTACAATTTTTGGAGGTTTCAATCCATATTCAGCTGGTTGCAAGGCAGGGTGGCATGGCTGAGGGGAAGCCTTCATGGCAGCTGTAAGCGACAAGAACGAAAGGGCAAAAGAGGGAGGTACGCCTCCTTCCCTTATATTTATTGTATGCTGATACCCACCCTGGGGTGGGTGCAGCACTCATACCGCCAGTCCCAGTGCTGGATGACAAACCAATCCAAATGCTAGATTTAGCTGTCTCCGTGACTGCATTGAGACTTTGGGGGGATATTTAAACAAACTACAGGTTCCTAACTCTTCGATTCTACTAGAATCTAATATGTAATATTTCATAGTATTGGTCCTAAAAGTCCTACATGGAACATAAAAGAATGAAATTTGTATGGAGTATGACTTCATCCTTAAATGTGAAAATAGAAGTGAATTACTTGCAAAAGAATATTGTTCTTTTAGTTAATTTTACAAGTATTAATTTTTTATTTTTTTTGGTACCAAGAGTTGAGCTCCTGACTTTGCACTTGGCAGGGAGGCTACAAGTACTTTCTTGTGTTTGTGGCATAACAAGCACTGTAATTTCAACCAGGGGAAAGACTTAACAAAACTGATTTTCTCATGGAACTTACATTCTAGTTGTATAGTAATACTCCTCTATGAGTGTTACTTTATATGTGTTTCACAAGTGTCCTTTTCCCTTTTCTTTTTCTTTGTTTTTAAAGCTTATCATCTCTTATGTGTCCCATAGGCTATTTAGAATTGATTCTTAGTTTTTGACATCTTTTTGTACTGATTTCTATCTTAATTAACTAAAGACAAAGAATATATCTTAGGTAATGCCAATCAGTAATGAATTTCCAAAAATTTACATTTGGGTTCCGACCCAGCCCGCGGGTCAATCTGTGGGGTAACCACCTGGAGGAGGAACAGGGATTAACAAAGACAGGGCAAGAGACAAAGAGAGACAGAGACAAATTGAGGAAGTCCAATCAAGTCTCGTTTATTGAGGAAGTGATCGCAGCTTTTATAGGGCAAGGGCGGGGTGGTGGGACAGGAAGAGGCTACGGGGTGATCTCTGGTGGCTCATCATCACGTCCGTGTATGTGATGTGAGTAGGAGAGGATCATGGTTGATGTAGGCACACTATGTGCCCATATAAGAGAGAGGCAGGGAGACAGCAGCGGGGCGGTAGCGTGGCGCCCTACAGGGTTCCATTGATTGAGGTAGGAAAGTTTGGAGTTGAGAAAGAGAAGCAAGAACACTATTGTAGGGATAATAAATTAGTACATGTAAGAATCCTAGCAGAGAGGTCAGGTGGACAGTTGAACTAGATCTATGTATTGATTTTTAGAGATGTAAGGCATATCCACTATTCTTGGACAAATTTCCCTAATTAAGAATAATTTTTTAAAGTTGCAGAAGATCCTGCAAAGTCACTTACAGAGTTATCTCCAGACTTTGGACATTCTTCACCACCGCTGCAGCCTCCTTCCATGAACTCCTTGTCCAGTGAGAACAGATTTCACTCTTTGCCCTTCAGTCTGACAAAGATGCCCAACACCAATGGCAGTATGAGTCACAGTCCACTCTCACTGTCGGTGCAGTCTGTGATGGGTGAGCTGAACAGTGCCCCTGTGCAGGAGAGTCCGCCTTTGCCTGTGTCCTCCGGTAACTCACATGGGCTCGAAGTGGGCTCACTGGCTGAAGTGAAGGAGAATCCTCCTTTTTATGGGGTCATCCGCTGGATTGGTCAGCCACCAGGGCTCAATGAAGTACTAGCTGGACTGGAACTGGTAATTTAATTTCACCTATAAAATGTGGTTCTTTTCTATGTTGAGTTTTGTGAAGATTTTTCCTGCGCGCGCGTGCGCGCGCGCGCGCGCGTGTGTGTGTGTGTGTGTGTGTGTGTGTGTGTGTGTGTGTCTTTGGGTCTTGGGGTTTTCTTCTTGTTGTTGTTGTTTTTGGCAAACTGTTGTATTTGTCAGAAAAGCCGTGACTAGAGAAAAATATTTTTCCTGTGTAGCCTGGCTTTTCTTTGCCACTCCTTAAGCTTTTGATAAATTATTTTAATGTTATTTAGTCTATATTGGGAGAATAAGAATTGGCTTTTAAGTGAATGTATTTAGATTCCTTTTATTAAATGGAATGCAGTAACAGCTGTTAACAGCTTTTTCCTTCCTCAGCTTCTTCCTCCACAATGATGTATCAATTATGACTTTAAAGTTAACCACCTAAATATGTACAGATCTTTTGAGCTCTTGGTAGAGGGAAAGATTTTCCCTTTGGAGTTCATCAACATTTCACAATCAGGAGAGGAAAATATGGATGCATTTAGCCTGTATTTCTTGGGTTATGGTTTTTTGCTTGCTTGTTTGTTTCCATACTAGTGTATAAAGGGAGGGAGGGAGGGAGGGAGAGAGAGTATGTGTGTTAAAATAATTATCTTCCTCATTCCACTCAGTTTCATTTACTGATTTATTTATATTTCTGGGGATGGAACCCAGGGCTTTGTGTATTCTGGGCAAGTGCTGTAACACTGAGCTGCATTTCCCAATTCATCCCTCATTTTGCTACATGTGAAAATGGTACAGGAAATTCAGTTAAGTAAGGAAGAGACCGGCATACATTCTGGAAGGAATGCATTAAGGACCTCCTGCAGGATTAAGGAATTACACTGTTAAATTATTGGCTGTGGACGAAGGCACCAATCCCTTCTTGATATAATTCACAGTACATAGATAAAGAGAGATTTCAGAGAAAGGGGAATCTAGGAACACATCTTCAACACCTAAGTTCTTTGAGTGCTGTCTTTCTAAAGTCATATATATTTATATATATGGAAGCTTTTGTTTTGCAGGAGGATGAATGTGCAGGCTGCACAGATGGAACCTTTAGGGGCACTCGGTATTTTACCTGTGCTCTGAAGAAGGCGCTGTTCGTGAAACTGAAGAGCTGCAGGCCAGACTCTAGGTTTGCGTCCCTGCAGCCTGTCTCCAATCAGATCGAGCGCTGCAACTCCTTAGGTAGGGGATGCTTTCCATTTATTTACTAATAAGAAGGGATTCCATTTCATACCATTTTACAGTAGGAATGGTACAGTGCTTAAATGATTTTTTATTTTGCAAATATTCTTCAAACTAGACCTTTTAAGAGAATTAGTTAGGAAAAGTGAGAAATAGGTTATGTTTTTGCCTGTCCTGTTGACTAAGCATTTAATTTTCAGGAGCATGTAAAGTAGAAATTGAAATATGACTCTTTTTGCACTGATTCCCTCCTCATTTTGTTAAGTACCTCTGTCAGCATGTCCCATCAAGAAATTAGCCTTTAGCTTGATGAATACAAGCGACTGTCCCCATCACTTGGAATGGGGGGCAGTTTCATGATGCTGTCCCTTCCAGTTCTGGACAGTAGTGGTGCAGCATCTCAAAGGTCAAGCAGGTGTAAATAGAAAATGCATCTTTATGAAGAACATTTTTTGTAATCTTGAGGTAACACTTTGGATTTTTTTTTCAGACTTGAAAATGAAGCATTTTGGATAAATAATAAAATGTAATGGAAACAATATGTTTTACTTTGACAGATGCTCTTTACACATTACCTAATACTCTAACGTGTTTTTGCAATTGTGGATGAAGTGAGATTGAAAATGAACAATAGCATTTTTTATAATATAGGCTGAATAGCAGTTAACCAAAGGTTGAAAAACAAATTTTGCATCAACAAACCAAAAGATATTTTAAAATGAAGACATGTATGCTGTAATAATTTAAAAGAATTCTTTTCATTTTTATCATTTCAGCATTTGGAGGTTATTTAAGTGAAGTGGTAGAAGAAAACACTCCACCAAAAATGGAAAAAGAAGGTTTGGAGATAATGATTGGAAAGAAGAAAGGTATCCAGGGTCATTACAATTCTTGTTACTTAGATTCCACCTTATTTTGGTGAGTTTATAATGGGGACAGGTACCTCTGTGTGTGTGTGTGTTTGTGTGTGTGTGTGTGAGAGAGAGAGAGAGAGAGAGAGAGAGAGAGAGAGAGAGAGAGTGTGTGTGTGTGTGTGTGCTTGTATGTCTGTATGTGAGACAGATCGCCAGCTGCTTCTGAGAAGGGGAACTGGGGATGGGGATCAGGAAAGGGAGATTCACCTTCCATAATATACTCTTTGGGAACTTGGCATATCTATATCTATTTCTCCATCTAAGAAGCCAGTATAAAAAGTAAAGCAGTGAATAATGAGTAAGGGGTAAAGGATGGTAATACATGTGGGACAGATACACCAGGGGCATCTGAAATGAGTAAATACGGTATCTTTGTGCACATAGCAAAAAATGACTTACTGGTTGATGTGTGCCCTATTTTAGTAGGTAGAGGTGATCATAAAATGACTTTATTTTAAAAATGTTTTAATAGAATTACCGTTGCCCTCATATATGTAGTTTTTTTTCCAAAAATGGAACGGCTTGCCAGGGATTTAGTTCAGTGGCATAAGTGTCTGCGTTGCAAGCACAGGGTCACGAGTTTGATCCCTGGTACAAAAACAAAACAAAACAAAAAACCCCCCCAAAACCAAAATGGAACAACTTAACATGGCAAACAAGCATCATTAGGCTCTGAAGATTGAAGGTAGAGTCTTGAGGCTCTGAGGATTGTGCGGTACTAGTTAAACTGAGATAACTGGCCAGTCCTGCACTCTGTGTTGTTGTAATTAGGAAGTACACTGTATTGTTGTTAATATGGGATGTTAATATGGGATGTTCACATTTGCAAAGCAGGGGAAAAAATGATGGTGGTGAGCCATTTTGTTGGCATAGTACTTTCAGTCTCCCGGTATGCTGACATAAACAGGCCTTGTAGCATGAATGGAATATTCTTCAGATTTCCTGATAAAAATCAGGTTCTCTTTTCTTTCACACTACCAAGTTTCAGCTGTTAGTCATTCATGAGTGATTTTAAAGAACTTTAGGACTTTGCAAAGGTATAGAAAGAGAGAAAGGAGTTATGGTATAGTGTTTGTTCTGAGAAATAATTTCCACACTTCCTCCCATGGTTGTTGTGTGACTCAGATTTGTGGCCCTCTTTTAACTTTTACCCAGAAGTTTGGTTTCTTAATACACTTGGGCATATTTTTATCCTTTAACACTGTCAATCTATAGTTTGCCTTCTTGATGTTTGTTTTCTCCCCACTGTGAAAAGCTCTCTAGACCCTGATAATTGAAATATGGGAATCCTTACAAGGCTCTTAGTCCCTACGTTCATGAAAAACATGCAAGTACACACTTAATGTATGTGCAAGACTTAGCTTCTTTTTAGAATCAGTTTCCTAACAAATGGCATGTTTGTAACATGAGAAAAAATACTGTTCTTATCTTGCAGCTTATTTGCTTTTAGTTCTGTTCTGGACACTGTGTTACTTAGGCCCAAAGAAAAGAATGATGTAGAGTACTATAGTGAAACACAAGAGCTACTGAGGACAGAAATTGTTAATCCTCTGAGAATGTAAGTAGACGATACATGTTTTGCCTTTAGATATTCTGTTTGCTCTTTTCTGATACAGGAATTGATTTATGCCCTGCTTTCATGTAATACAGAAGTGGGTGAAAGGGCTCATGGCAAAGTACTGTTTTTTTTTTTCTTTTAACTTAGGTTCTTTCATTGGTTATTTAATTCTTAAGCTTAGCTGATATATGGAACATAGTATATTCCATGAAATGACTTAAACCATTTTGGTGAAGTATACTACAAGTTAGCAGTTGCAGGAGATTTAGAGAAGTTGATTTGTAGTACTTAGGCTTCTTATCTTTTGAGGTAATCTGTTCAGTATTACCCCTCGCAGTAATCATACTTATTAATAGGAGTTCTGTAGTTTGGTTTCGCAAACTGAATTTTATCTGAAAGAAAAGAAATAAGAGAAACTATTCATTTATAGAATGACTACTGTTTAACATTTCTGTTTATATTTTAGTAGAATTTTTTTTGTCTAAAGAAACATATTGAAGCCTTGTTCCTTCTTCTTTACTCAGGTGATTCTTCTGTTTTCTAGTTTAGGAATTATAAGCATGTCTACTTTTTGGGTCATAGGAGCTATTTGTAATAGTACAAGCACAAGTGACAGAGACCATCTGTAAAACTTGATAAGTGGTACTGGTGATGTTGATGATGTCACATTATAAATTTTAAACTGTGAAGAATTATAGTCATAATTCATAAAATAGTTTTGTTCATTCAGGAACAGAGAGCAAACTCTAATTTATAGACCATACTAAGTTAAATTTTGTGACGTACTTTTTGTATTTAACAATTAAAGCTAAAGATAGATACAAGATACTGACTAAAAAAACTCTGAAATTTAACGAGCATTTTGAATGGCCTACTGTATCCCATGACTAGGAAAGTGAACTACAAATGAATAAATTTTCCCACTTGTACTGCTTATTTTTCTTAAATTCTATAATCTTAAGTGTTATGAAAATTATGATTGTTGATTTTCACATTATTTGATCTTAGGCAGATATTTAAAAAACTTTTAATTTTCCTCCCAAATAATTGATGCTAGAACAAGACAAGTCAAATTCGAAACTCTGAGGCAGAAATGGTGAACTTTTTGGTGACTGAATGCCCAAACTGCAATCCAAAACTCACTTACTGTAATGTGCCAACACTGCAATTAAACCTGAGTACTGAGTTTTAGTTTACAAAAAACACATGGGGTGACTTGGCTTATGTGTATCAGAGAAGGCTCTGTGTGCCACCACTGTTCTGAGGCATGTTACCACCCTCTCTCTTCTTTCTAAAACACTGTAAGCCCATTAATAATAACCAACTTTGTCATAAAGGAATGTTGTATGAGTGTATAATTCCCACATTTATACTTTAGATTATATCAGTTGATAAATTATTTTAATTTTATGAATTTTACTTTATTAACTAGTGAGTAACTGGAAAAAAGTATCAAAATTTTAAAATATTTATTGTTTATAAAAAAGGAGAATTTTTCAACAACTGTTTTTTGGTGTACAAAGTTCAAAAAAATAACAGAAACAAATTCCTATGTCAACTACAATGCAAATACAACGTACCTCTACAAGAAAATAATCTTTACTTCTATTATCACACCTAAGCAATCTTCACGCCTGACAGCAGCATGAGCCATACATGCATATCACCTACACTGAAAGCACATGTGTTTTGCTTTCCTTGCCTTTTTTCAGGACATACCTGGCATCTTGCAGTTCTTGCTGTTTTGTTAGGAGGTTCTTGTTATATTGTACAGTGTGTAAAATATCAATAAAAAGTTTCAATTTTTAATATGTTTTGCATGTTTAGAATGAACGTCAACATTTTCACATCAGCTGTGTACTTGTTTACAAAACCTAAAAGGTAACATCAAAAATAAATTCATATATCAACTACAGTGAAAATACCAATAGAACTCTACAACAAAATTAATCTTTGCTTTACTTGTCATATCCAAGGCAGTCCTCACACATGACAACCATATGTTCCATGTACTTATCTCACTCACACGGATAGCACATGTGCTTAGCTTTCCTTTCCTGTGCGGCCATTCTTGTCTCTTTTCTTATGTTCTTCTTTTGTCAGGAGTTTCTTTATTGAACAACATGCCCTTAGCAGGAAAAGAAGATATCAATAAAATCAAATATTAAGTATATAATGAGTAGTTAGAATAGATTTTTAATTTTCATGTCAGTTGTTTGCTTGCTTCTAAGACCTAAAAGGTAGCATCAGAAATAAATGCCTGTGTGAACTACAATGTAAATAGAAACAAAAGTTTACCACAGAAATAACCTTTGCATCACCTGTCACACCCAAAGCAGTCTTCACATGTGAAAATGGCATGTTCTGTACATGAGTATCACCTACACTGGTAGCACGTATGTTTTATTTTCCTTCTTTGTAGGGCATAGTTGACATCTTTTTGGTTTTCCTGTTGGCACAGTAGGTCTGTTGATGCTGGACCTGCCTCTTCACTTGTCAGCTCACCACTGTGCTCCACAATTTTTTTGCATAGGTCCCTGTGCAGAAACCTTTTGTTTTTCTTCCACTGTAAATGATCTCTTATGACTTCCAGTCCCAGTCTTCTAAGAAAATTTCTTTGTGGTATTTTGCATTTAGATTTTCCTTATAAACTATTAAACTGTATATGCCACATGTTTTTAGGGTCTCATAAAACCATTGGCCAATGTTTTGTGTTTTGAGAGCAGTCATGGTTGTTGTGTAACTCATCAACAACATCTATTCTGCCTTTGGTCAGTTCTTGCATCATTTTTGGCTCATATGGCCAAAGTCAAAGTCATTGTCATCTTCGTCTTCTGTGTATGAGTATTCTAATGACTCACTTTTGACCTCCTCCAAAACTTGCAGATCTGGTTTTTCATGTGCTATTCTACTGAATTGGGCTACCAGAAAAATAAAAATAAAATTTTGTTTTTCTTAAACAAAACCTAAATGTGCAGAAATTTAGCAGTGAGCATTTCATGGATAAAACTCACCTGTTGTGCTGTGGAGTTCCTGTACATACCTTGCTGTGCATCTGCCAAATGGGTGAATGACACTGATGGGTTTTTGCTTTCCCCAGGCTCAGCTACTGTGAGTTACGCCCATATTCCGTTATAGTAAAATATATGTTTGCAGCACCCACATTTCTGTTTTTGCTTTGTGGTCACACTGAAATCTTGCTGTCTCCACCACAAACTTATGTCTTTCTCACCTTACACCTTTTGTAATCCCAGTGGATAAGAGTTTAGCGTAGTAAGTAATGGATGCTATATGTTGTTGAAGAGAGTTAATAATTAATGGTCAGTATAAAAACATATAAGATGAAATGGTTCTCATTTGTCCTTATTAGGCCAGTGGTGGTTCTCATTTGTCCTTATTAGGCCAGTGGCTCTTCTGGAGCCACTCGTAGTAGAGTTTTGTAAGGGGTTGACATTGAGCTTACTGGATGTGTCCTGTACTCAAAGATAAGAGAAAATGGCATAATGGTGCTGTTTGATTTGGTTGCAGATTGTAGATTTTCAGTCTCTCACCAGTTCATTTTCTCATTTACCTTGGTAACTGTTTCATCCATTGGTATGAAAAGAACTTTCTCTCTTAAAATGGTATATTCTATTTTACAAAGTAAATAGTTAAGAAATTAAGCATCATAAACTTTAAAAATATTTTTTGTATTATTATATGACAGTTAATTTGAAGTATATAATAGTGTCTGGGATAATTCTAGTACTACATCTTTAATTGTTGAAATCTCAATAAGAAGTCTATAATTGTATTCTTCAAAATAATTGCCTAGTCTATTAACATATGACATGTTGGAGTTACATGTGTCATTGTTAAGATGTATTACATAATTTATTATATATGCCAGTACCAGTTAACTCAGCTTTTTTTTTTTTACTAACATAGATATGGATATGTATGTGCCACAAAAATTATGAAACTTAGGAAAATACTTGAAAAAGTTGAGGCTGCATCAGGATTTACCTCTGAAGAAAAAGGTGACTATCTTCCTTTATAGCATATGCATTGAAAAAACTTGAAACCTTGTAAAATGCTAAATTACTAGTTAAAATGTATAATTTTGTGGTTAAATTTTAAGTTAGAATGGGGGCCCAGGGATACAGCTCAGTGGTAGAATACTCTATTGGTGTGCTGGGTTCAGATTCCCAGGACTCCCAAACAAACAAACCACAAAAGAAAGAACTTTTTCCTATGTGATACACATCTTTCTGTCTGTTCTGTAAATTCTTTTTCTTTTCTAAAAATCCAGTGATGTACAAGAATGAACCTCTTTAAGAGGTTGCTCTCATTCTAGTGTATTAAAATGAATAAGTCAAAAGTTCTTTCCTTTCCTTGCAGTAGTGATATTGAGTTGTTTCTCTTTCTGTGGTGAAGGGATGCATTGAGTAGTCTGTTTCCCACTTAGCTTTTCTTGTAGAGAGCATTATTAAACAGCCAACTATGATTAAGTTTATGGTTAGGGTTTTAATGTATTCATAGCTAATGGATTTATGCAAAGATTCAGCCTGAGACTTTGAAGTTGTTAGCAGTGTACTTAACCAATTGTAAAGCTAAGAGGCTTGATAATTACTTAACAGTAAGAAAATTCAGGGCATACTTCAAGTTTTGTCCCGCTTATCTTAACTGCCCAAAGTGAAATTGTTTCATTCTATGTGAATCATTATACCTTTCAAATGCAATAAAGTTATAACAGAATTGGAACACAGAACTTTCTCAGGCCATGCAAATATCCTTTGTTGCTTTCCTTTATCAGGAAATCTTGAAAACTATGCTTTTAATTGAGGTAATACTGAGTGAATGAAGTTGAATTCAGTATAAAATGAGTTTTAAAGACTAGAATAATTTTAAAGTTTTGCCTGTGACTTATTTAATTTTTAATTTTCTTCTAGATCCTGAAGAATTTTTAAATATCCTATTTCACCACATTTTAAGGGTAGAACCATTATTAAAAATTAGGTAAGTTTTAAATTGTTATAGAAGCATTGGAGCTGGGGATGGAACTCAGCGGCACAGCACTTTTCTGTCAAGCTCAAGGCCCTGAGTTCGATTTCCTGTCCCAAAAATAAAATCAATCAATCAATAAATAGAAACATTGGTAAAGTATACCATCTTTATTTTACTGCTGCTATTTAGTGGGAATGATTTCCTTACTATTGTATTTCTTTAGGGCTGTTAATTATGCTAGGTAATTATAAATGCAAATTAATTGTCATTGTTGATCTTTCTATAGTGCCATACTTAATGAAGAACAAAGTCAATGTAAATTTGTGCTTTTAATTTTAACCCCAGTAACAAATATTATTGCAGTTCATTTTCTTATGAAAGCATGTAAGTATTTTTATAATTTTAATTAATGATCATTTAAAAGGAATCTTGTTCTAATGTAGTTAAACACTATGAGAACATTGTTTTTGATTACCTATCACTTAAGGGATTAAGTTAGTCTTAAACTAGCTCTTTTGTTTTATCTTCTTGAGACAGGGTTTCATTATATAATTCAGGCTGTTGTTGCACTCACTTTGTAGCTCAACCTGACTTTTGAACAGCGATCTTCTTGTGTCAGCTTCCCAAATCGTGAGATTACAGGCACAGTCCACCACATCTGGCTTTAGCTCTCTTTTTCTAAGTTTTGTAACTTAGTCTTTTTCTTGCCAAGTGGAGGAAAGTCTTGAGTTTAATGCAGACAACTTCTTAGTGATATATTCTAGATGCTGAGTTTTTCAGGTAGTTTAGTATAACTGCCTTAATGGTGGACCTGTCTCCATTTAAACCTGTATTTCTCTGTGGGAAACCTTGCTAATATACTATCCTGTTTCCTTAAAAACTTAACTGTAGACAAGTGCTGCTCTCCTCTGTGTCTTAGGTGACGTTGTTCCATTCCAGTGTTGAGCAGATGGGCAAGAAGAGGGAAGGAAGAGGGGAGAGTGCCACAGTTGTAGTTGTATATTGTACAGAATGTTCTAAAGGAGGAAATAAGACATGATACATAAACACCAGGTACACTTATTTATCATCTGGTCAAAATTGGTAATAGTCTTGGGTGGACCTGGAAAACCCTTGAGAATTGCCTAGAAACGATTAGAATTACTTTAAAATGGGAAAAAAGAATAATGTTGTATTTAATGAAGTAAAATACTATGCGATCAATTTTATGAAGATAGAGTTTTGAAGACACAGGGCAAAAAAGGTAATTCAATTAATGTGACACATTGTATTTTAGGTAGGAAGATTAGATACTTTAATGATGCTAATATTTTATAAAATAATTGGCAGATAAGCAGATCTTAACCTTTACCTTTTTTAAACTCAGGAAAGGGAAGTGATGTTAGAGTTCTCTATAAAATGAGGTAGATGAAGAATACTTTTTTTAAAAAAAGAATTCTATTTCAAGCTTAAAAGGCAAAGCAATAGTGTTTGATTCAGGTATAAAATTAGAAGAATCGATCAATAGAATGGAATAGAAAGCTCAGTAGTATTTCAGTAACTTAGAAGTCAGCCTTCAAACACAAATTGGGAAGGAAAGATATATTTAATACGTGATATAGGACAACTAGCAGGAAGTTGAGAAAAAGGTCAGGTTTTTTTTTCATCTTTTAAAGTAATAAATTCCAGATACTTGAAACGGTTGTTTTCATCTGTTTTACTTTTCTAAGGCACCATGCCTAAGGGATGCAATCCCTCTCAATATTAGCATAGGTTGAATAGCGCTGTGCTTTTCTGAGGTGCTCGGAGAAGGGGCAGGCACTGCTCAGTCTGAGGTCCCTGGGGCCTTTGGAAAGGGCCTTGCAGAGCTGGTACACTCCTTGAGGGGTCGCCTGTCCCCACGCCACCCCATCACCAAGCAGCCTTTTCTTATGTTGAATTACTGTTTGAAGAGGTTAAGAAGGTATTTTAAGTTAGTCTTTCTTCTCCCCAGGTATCTTACTTGCCTTGCCCTGTCTTCCTGACTCAGGGAGTCAGCTGATGGAACCTGTGGAGGACCAGTGCCTTAAAAATGGGAAATCATAAATTAGTTTAGAGGAGGTTATATTTTTAAATGCCTGAAGAGACAAAAGAAGAAGCAAATACTGTTGGGAGATAAAAGCAAATCCGACCAATGGCATCAACTAAAAAACAGGCACAAGTAGCATTCGCAGGGACAGAGTGTGTACCCTGATGCAGGGCAAGAGGATGAGGCTTCCGGAGAGCAAATGTGAGCTGTGGATCCTAAGGAGGTTCTAGAGAGAATAAGGAAGCAGTAGCATCTCAGGAGATTTTCAGAATTGTCCACAGACTTAAATTCTAAGAATAAAAATACACAGAATTCCTTAGGAACCAGGACTAAATTACCACTCAGAGATATATTCTAAGATGTACTTTAGTAAGACAAACTGAATTTAGAATGAAGGAGTGGGATGTAAGAAACAAGGAAAAAGGGGCTGGGGATTTAGCTCAGCAGCATAAGCGCCTGCCTTGCAAGCAGGCAGTCATGAGTTCGATCCCCAGTACCGATAAAAATGAAAAAAGACCAAAAAACAAAACAAAACAAAAAACAGGGAAAAATCAAGAAATTGGTAAATTTGGATAAATTAGACCTTAACATTTAAAAAACAATGATAATGATGTAATCATAGTGAATAATTGTGTATGTACTGGATAAAGTGAACCTCAAGAACAGTTACTAACAAGAAAGGATAGTAATGGGAGGCAGGCAAAAGAAAAAAAGTGGAATAACCTCGGCAGTCAAGAAGCAAAGCAGAGGACTTTCTGGGTTGTGTTCCAGAGCACAGTGTGGGCATTCTTACTTGGATATGTCGTGACTGTGCTATGTTCAGTGGTGCTGGGTAGCCCAGAACCCATGCAGAATTTAGTGTCTGTACATTACAGTCTATGTCACAGAGGTAGATAGTACAAAGCTACAGATCATGAGCACTTTTTGTCTTCTCAGCAATATCCATTTCTTGTGAAGTGAATCCATTCTCTACTCTTGGGTTTTCCTTAGTGGAGAACATCTCAACGTGATGCGCCAGCTTCATTGTGATTCTGTAGGGTTTTGCCTTCTGTGACTTAGGAGTGAGGTGTTAGAGGCTGTTTTCCCCTGTTGCACTCTGGTGGCCTGTGTCCTGAAGCTGTGCATGTCCTCCTAGTCCATCTTTCTGGTCCTTTCTCTGAGTATGCAGCTTAGTGTTCCCGTCAGCCACTATCCCTTCTCTTCCAGCCACCATCGTTATTGCTATTGTCACTATTTATGTCTGTTATTTCTTGCTCTTTTAATTTCCTCTGCTACCTATTTTTCTACACTTTAGGCTTCTGTAGAAAAATAATGGTATTTTGATATCATACCTTGCTCTGCTCTTGATTTGCTGAGGAGTCTACACTTCTTTGGTTCCCTCTTCTAGAGATCTTCATTTAAAAAAAAGTTGGATCTAGAAGATTTTCTGATGTTCTGTAGTCATGTGAGGCATTTGTTTACTTTCTCCAACCATGTAATGCAGTTTACTACTTTCCAGATTTTGACGATGAGGTTGAGCTGAGTTTAGCTTCTGGTTATTACTGTTCACACAGTGCTTCTTGTATTATTCCATAATTTTTCTTCCGGCCACCAAGAGAACTTCTCAAAATAAAAACTAAAACAAGAAATCATATATGGTCTTGTGCATAAATATATTTAATTATTTCGCCTGAATTTTGTTCTCTGCCATTGTCCAGACCACCTGATGAAGTTGCTCCATTAGTTTTATGGGTTTGCTGTTCTCAAATCCTGCTAGAACAAGTTCACATTCTGTTTTAATAATTTAATAACTAAGTCACATGTGTTCTCTGCATGTTCTTAGATCAGCAGGTCAAAAAGTACAAGATTGTTACTTCTATCAGATTTTTATGGAAAAAAACGAGAAAGTTGGAGTTCCTACAATTCAGCAGTTATTAGAATGGTCATTTATCAACAGTAACCTGAAATTTGCAGAGGTTAGTGTCACTGTGTTTATGTGAAAGTCTGGAGAACTCTTAAGAGAACTAACAGTCAGTGCCTGTTGAGTTGAACCAACTGAGACTAGCTGTTAAAACACACAATTCTAAAAAAATGTGAAGTATTTAAACTTTGTCCATGTAGAAAGTGCATTAGACTTAAGTTTGACCTTTTTAGAATTTTGGTGCCAAAACCCACAAAGCTAAATTGTAACTTGAGACCCCTAAAGTAGTTTAACATAAAAAGCTGCATTTAAAAAATTGTCATTTTATCCAAATGTATTATCCCAATATATCAAAAGAGAGTATTTACTTTTCTCCTGCTCTTGAAGAGGCAAAATGTCAGTCAGTTCACTCGATTGGCTTGTTAATGAATAAATGATGCGAACGTGTTTCCTTTTTGCTGTCTTCAGAGTGTCTTACAATTTCAGTAAGCACGTGCTAGAAGAGGGGTGGTCCTGGCTGCCTTGGCTACGCACTCCACATTCTCTCAGTCATTCTTGTTTTCTGGGCCATCAGCATTTGGGTGGAAAGTGCTTGCTTTGACAGAGGTGACTATTTCAGCTCCATAGGGGGAACATTTTTTTCTCAGCACTTTGATTTCTTCTAAAAATATGTCTTTCTGTCTCTTTCTTTGCAGGCGCCATCATGTCTGATTATTCAGATGCCTCGATTTGGGAAAGACTTTAAATTATTTAAAAAAATTTTTCCTTCTTTGGAATTAAATATAACAGATTTACTTGAAGACAGTAAGTATACCATTTTTTATATTATTTTGTTTGTTTTTTAGAACTGGTCTGTCAGGCCACTCTCACTGATCATAGATGTAATATCTCGAAAAAGCAATATAGTACCTGAAGAGCTGAGAAATATCAAGCCAATAATTTAGTTCTGGGAAATTATTCTGAAAAAATTAGGGATTAAAATAAATATTTTGTTTGTACATATGCTTATTGTCGTAAGAAATTAGAAACAACCTAAGTATTAATAAGAGGCCAGTAGTTAAATTAATTATGTATCTATACTATGACCCTTCTCTTAAAATCCATGTTTTTGAAGACCATTGTATTTGAAAATGATCATGGTATAGCATTATGTGAAAAGTACAGACATTGATAGGTACTTAATATCTGGCTCTAAAATACCCATACACATACAGTTATATAACTATTCAGGCACAAAATTGGAGAAAATTAATAGTAATATTGACAGTAGTTCTTTCTTGCTAAGACTGTAGATACTTTCAGTTTTATTCTTTAGTCTTTTTTTGTATTTTGAATTTTCATCAGTGAACATTTTATGATCAGAGGAGAAAACACTTTAAAATGTATTGTTTAAAAAGCAGCTATTTGGTCAAAAAGAATGTTTTCAATGATACCTTAAATCTAGGAAAATCCAACTTAAAGTTTAAGAGAATGAAGTTTAAGAGAACAGACTCTTTTGAAGCCATGAACATTATCTTTTTAATAAAAGAGTGTTTGTTTGTTTTTTGTGGTGCTAGGAATTGAAGCATATCTGGAACTCTTTTTTTATTTTGAGATATGGTCCCGCTAAGTTGCGCTGAGAGGGCTCAAATCTTTGATCCTTCTGCCTTAGCCTCCTAGAGTTCAGGGATTAGAGGAGTGCACACCTTGCCCGGCTAAGAGTGCATTTTTGAAAGGCCCCTTAACTTTGCTTCCTGCCCCCTCTCCAGCTCCCAGGCAGTGCCGGATCTGCGGAGGACTTGCGATGTATGAATGTAGAGAATGTTACGATGATCCAGACATCTCTATTGGAAAGATCAAGCAGTTTTGTAAAACCTGTAACACTCAAGTAAGCTGCCTTTACTTACTGGATTATCTGTTGTTGAACAGTAAGTTGTGTGTAATGAAGATTGTGTTCAGGTTTTAAAAACCCGTTAACTTGTACTTAGCTTTAGAAATGCATAATACAATGATATTATGTGTTCCCTCTGCGCTGGGACTGATAGACATCAGTGAAACAGTTTGTTGTGGATTTTGTTTTCTCTGGATGTTGTTAAAAGTAGAATCCCTCTGCTTGAAGCGTTTCATTGGGCTCATTTCTGATGTTCTCTTGATGATCCCTTTTAGGTCCACCTTCATCCCAAGAGGTTGAATCATAAATATAACCCAGTGTCACTCCCCAAAGATCTGCCTGACTGGGATTGGAGACACGGCTGCATCCCCTGCCAGAAGATGGAGTTGTTTGCTGTGCTCTGCATAGAAACGAGCCATTATGTAGCCTTTGTGAAGTATGGGAAAGATGACTCTGCCTGGCTCTTCTTCGACAGCATGGCTGACCGGGATGGTGTGTCCAATCTCTTTCTTCCACATGTGGCAACCTGTGGGTTTTTGGTGGGATAGTACCTAGTGGAACTGTCTGTTCTGAGTAATAAGATATTTTGTTTTCCAAGAAAATCCTTTCAGGAACATCTTGGTGACACAGCTTTTAGTCATGAAATGCCTAATATCCTGATGTTATTATTCCTTAACATAGCAACATTATAGGGAATAATATTGTGCTATTTTGACATGTATATGCTGTTTATTAAGAATAGAGTCCTGACATTCTTATTTGAGAAAGATTTTAAGTTTCCTCTTCCTCTCATTCTTTTATGTAAACTCAATAGGCTTTATTGAGCACAGTTATATGAAACCTCTTTGGCAGAACAACTAGTCATTTTACCTAAATTTTTGAAAGATGGAAATATGTCCCATTTTTCTGTTATGAAAGCCAAAGTCACATAGCTGATATTTAACTTTCTGATCTCATAAGGTTTTTTGGTTTTTGTTTTTGTTTTTTTATACTACTCTGTTGTCTTTGAAATGACAAAAGCCAAGCCCAGAAGTAAATATCCTTATCTCTCTCTGAAAAGGGGGATGAACTGTACTCTCTAGGACATTACGCATATTTAATACATCTGAGGACCAGCAGTGTGAGACAATTTTGGGAGTCACAGGTCTGTCACGGCAGCTCCCTTGACCTCTGTGGCACTCAGGTTAGGGCTGGTCTTTGGCACAGTTGGGAATTATGACATCTGTGTCTCTCTCTTCTTGAATTTCTCAAGCCCAGAGCCTTGAGGTCTTTGGTGTGGTCCTCTAAAAACCTAAGGCCTTTCCCTAGTGGTAGCCCATTTTTTGGCGAGAGGCCAAGCTCCAGACAGTTGTCAGTCTTTTCTCAGCTTTAAGATGTTCAAGGAGCACACCCCAGCTCTGTAAATGTGCCTGCTCAGTTGACATTGTGACTTAAAATTCTAGGCAAGGCATTTGGGGAAGCCATGGGGAGGGCTAACCTCAAGGGCTTTTCTTGAAACCAGAGCATCTTGATGCACAGTCTGATGACACATAAAACAAACCATGCTGAAAGCATGCACCTGCTCTTAAAACTTGACGTTAACAGCGCTAGGCCTGCTTCACATTGGGCAGTATCATGGTGAAGTGTGCAGGGGTGATGGGTCTGGGAAGGGATGTAGAAATGTGAGGTACTGAATGCTGTATTTTCCATTGTTCCCAAATTGAACACAAGAGAGAAGCCTGGAGAGCAGGTTTGAGGCTTTTCTCAGGATATGTTTACTTTTACCAATTTCGTTCATTCTTAGTCCCAGAATCTTTTCAGAAGCCAAGAGATGAGAAAACTTTTATGTGGTAAAGGAGCCTTTAACTTGTAGAAATCAAAAGTAAAATCAGGTCATTCAGATCTCAAAAGTCAGCCTTTACTAAATCAGAGGATCATACAGTAGTTTGGGGGTGCAGGGCTGAAAGTGAGAGTGTTTAGAATGTCACTGCTCTAAAAGCTCTCTGCCTCCTTCTCATAGGTGGTCAGAATGGCTTCAACATTCCCCAGGTGACGCCCTGCCCGGAAGTGGGCGAGTACCTGAAGATGTCTCCCGAGGACCTGCACTCCTTGGACTCCAGGAGAATCCAAGGCTGTGCTCGCAGACTTCTTTGTGATGCATATATGTGCATGTACCAGAGTCCAACCATGAGCTTGTACAAATAGCTGGCTCATCGCCAGAGGCGGAGAGACTGAGCACGAAACCTCGGTGTTGCGTTTTCCTGGAGCTGGTGGTTGTGTTCCACACCCATTGCCGGCAGTGGGTGTCTTTGTGTGGTGGCAATTCAGAAAAGGATTCCTGTGCTTCAAAACCAGTTGCTTTTGTGTTACGGAAGTATTTAATAAGAAGCATTTTGCACTCTAGAAAGTATGTTTGTGTTGGTTTTATAAGAAGTCTAAATGAAATAATACCTGAAGCTTTAAGTTAACTGCATTGATTATATGATATTTTTTGAAAGCATAAAATTTTAATTGTGACAGTTTAAAACCTCTTTCAGTCCACTGAGAATGTAAATAAATGTTTCTTTTTTCTGGACCAAGCATATGAAATAATTTTTCCTTTGTAGCTAACGATTGCCGTGAGGAAGAAATAATTTGGTTTTATTAAGAGTTTTACTTTCAATCCAGCTGTTAAAGGTGTACTGAGTTTGCCTTGTTAATTCTTTCCTCTATGCTGCTGATTCCTGCATGTCTGCAATCTGCTGAGTTTCTGTGTTTCTGCAGTAGTAGTCAGAAAAATACTGAGATTCCCTTAATGGTGTTGTTTTCTATTTGTTCCAGTTTTGAGATAAATGAGTGATTCTGTCATAAAATGTCCATTTTTGATGTACTTTTCCTGGAGGATTAAGGTATTTAGCAATTGAAGCTCTTCAGTCATTGTAACTGTCAACTAACAGGATGTTTTTAGGGATTATTTTATGCAACAAGGCACAGTAAGTTTTATGAAATGGAGTAATAAGTAAATAACAAATTCTTGCACAGATATACAGTCCACAGGAAAATTTGGCATCTAGAATTGCTCATTAATGTTTCCCTGAAGAGATATTAGATATTTAAACCTTTATTTAAATAAATAAGAAGCTTATTTTAAATAAATCTGTTATTTTGAGTAAGGCAGTTATTTTAACTGATCAGCCAGCCAGTACACTTAGTAAATTCAGTTTGGTTTTGCTTGAGATAATAATCTGAACCATTTTATTGAGATGATAACTGCAGCTTCATCCTCCCTCTGATTAAATAAGTAGAAAATGGATGTTTTCTTAGGTATTTCCATAGTGTGTGTGTAGGCCACAGTGGATGTTGTAGACTAGAATCATAGGTTATAAATGTCAGTACTGTGGAATGTGTATTCCTTGAGTATTGTTCTGTGATGTTGTTGTGTTTTTGGAATGACTCTGTAACCTTGCAGAAAGACAGAAAAGATGTCATATGTATTATAGCATATGACTCTACAATATTGAATGTTAAAAAAAAACTTGGAGTCTTTATTAACCCTGCAGTTATTTTTGTAAAAATACTTTGTTTTTATCATTCCATTTGGCTAGTATTTATTAGCTTTATAAATCCTAATAAGGTACAAAACTTTTCCATCTTATAACCTTCTAATTTTTTTAAGTGAATAAGTAGATTTTTTTAAAACCAGGCTTTGTCCTGTTCATGTTGGGCTATGAAGTGATAACTAGATGAGGCCCATAGGCTGAGGACTCCTGACTGTGGGGCAGGCTCTGCCTCTAGGGACAAATGGGGCATGGGATGCAGTATCTCAGTTCTGTCCCAGCTCTGACCATCTGAAGTCCAGTTGACTGAAGAACGGGTGAGTGAGGACCAGTGTGGCTCCAGCAGGTGAGCTGGAGGGGCGATTGGGCACCTGTACTTAGGTAAGCCTGGACTTCATAGTTGAAGAGAATGAGAAGACAGGTGTTGTTTTTTTTTTTTTTTTTTTTCCTGTAGAAAAGAAAACAAAATGCAAGGTGGGGAAGATCTCTGGCCAGCTCTCATGTAGAAACTAGCTTGATTCTAATTCCACAGGATGGGGCCCTTGTTAGTGGGAGGGGTCTCATCCAAAATTCTGTCCAGGTGGAGTTCATTACTGGGGAAGAGATGTGGGAAGGGAGACTATGTCCTTATCTGCTCCTGAGAACCACCAGGATGTCCAGGGAAGCCTCTTCCCTTGCCTGTCCCTCTGTCCCTCTGGACAGTCACTCCGTGATCCTTCCAGCGGGGCCTGTGGTATCCAGGGGACGCGGTCAGGCCTGGGCTGCTTGACATGGATGCTCCATGTGTCTGCTGAGTTATTTAGCTTTCAGTTTTGTTTTCTCTATTATTCTATTGGCTGTTAAAACGTTTTAATTATCATTTTTCTTCATCATATATATTCAAAATTCATGATTCATAGCTACAATACAGCAAGTCATGTTCCTCCACCTCCAAACACATACATGTGTGTTTCTTGTGTGTTTATATGTGAGAGAACAGGTTGTAGGGGGAGAGACAGAGACTAGAGAGAAAGAACTGTGTTATAGATGCTAAATGTGGCCTGTCCCTTACTAACAGCTTTCTAAGCGAGTCTGACTCCAGCCTCAAAAGAATGTTTTCTGAGACTGGGGAAACATAATGGAAACCAAGAGAAATGATTTAAAAATTAGTGTAATTGTTGCAGTTGCTAAGGTTTTTCTGTTTAGAACATTTTAGAATTTTTGTAATTTTTTATTTGCCAAATGCTTAGTAAATGGTTAGGTTCTTGCTGTCCTCTGATTCATTTGTTCTCTCACATACAATCACTTGTGAACAGAGGGAGGAGATAGGAATTAGTCTTATGGAACTTTTGCTGTCCTCCAAATTTGTTTGTTCGAATGTGGCATCTTCATAGATTCTGGAGTTGTTCCCCTCCTCCGCTGAATCTCACTGTGCAGCTGGATAATTTTGCGTCTGTTTGAATGATTGTAGGCCGAGATGTGCATGGAGAATATGGTATTAAACCTTTACTGAGAAGCTGCCATCAGGTATTTATTGGACATTGATTAGGTATGTAGGATTGTGTCACAGCATATGAGACCTGGTCCCTGCTCCCAAACAACTTAGTACAGAGCATGCATTAAGCCTGCTTAGCTTCAGTGAGAGGCAGCAGCTCTGGGCTGCTTCAGGAGGCAGTGTGGTGTTGCAGGAAGGGAAAGGATTGGGGGCAATAGACCTAGACCCTTTCTGTGTTACCTGTTCTGTGTTATTAGATAGCTTGATTACTTGGATGTCATTTTCTTTATAATGAGGGGATTGGATTTTATAGGAGAACAGTACAAATTCTAAGATCCTAGGCCATGGCTGCTAGACCTGACCCTCATGCAGAGCTGGGAATTTGCTGGTCACACTCTCACCCTCCAATCCTTCTGACCAGCCAGGGTGGAAATTGCTGAACCAGAACACTTCAAAGGCTCCTTCTCTTTTTGTGATCATCTACATGGTTGTGTTAACTGTTCCACATAAATTTGAGTAATTGAGTGTTTACCATAGTGTTATCTGTTGTATATTAACTGAATAAGAAATGCATTTCAGTACGTGTGCCTCAACCCACAATTTCCTAAAAGCTTTAGTAGTTTTTGAAACATAAATGAGTCTTAAGGGGATATTTGATACGAGAATTTTCCTTCTATCTTATTTCTTTAGGGGAAATTGAGGCTCTGGAAGCCAAAGAAACAGAAAAACAATTCTCATGTAGGAAAAAAAAAAAAAAAAAAAAACAGTTTCCTCCTATCTGCTACATTATGTTGAAAAATGTAAAATTTTGTGGTAAGATATTTCTCTGGAATAGCAAGTCACTTTATCATAAAGAAAGATATCCTTGGAAAAGTAGATGTGCCACAAGGTCTATAATAAAGACAAAGCCACCTCGTAGGGGCCAGCTGTGTAAACACCACCCCAAATCTCCATCAGTGGTCGGAGTCCTTAAATTCCCTAAAGCGAGGGGCATGGGGGTTAAACTGGGCCCTAGCAAGCCCGAAGGTGGGCTCTTACAGCAGGGGGCTATGCGGAAGCAGGCTTCCACACTTCTGGGATTGTCCCTCTCATCCCAGATGAGAACTTCAGAGCCAGAAGCTCCCACAGAGAGCTGGCCTTGCTCCCCTCTCCTTTCTGATGTCTTTACTGAGAGAAGGAGATGGGCGGCTGGGCGAAGCTCTTCATTTTAGATAAATCCTGGAGCAGGTAAAGGCTTTCTCTTGAGTCAGGAAGCAGTAGTAGGAAGTGGAGTGACAGAGGTGGCCTGGAATAGTGAAGAAGCAAAGGCTGAGCATGAAGGGCGGCCCTCGTGACCAGGGCTGAAGAGCTGCTCCTTTGGGCAGTGGCCATGCTTGTCCCACCATACTTTGGTCTTCCTGTGTTTTCCTAACAGTTCAGGGAGGAGGGCCCATGATAGAGGGATTATCTTCCTAAGTACCATGGCTTCAGATATAATTCTGCAGTGCTTTTAAATCCTGTTCACTTTCACTTTTTTTTTTTTTTTTATTCTTGAGGGATTATATTGGAGACTGAACTGCATTTGGTTTTATATTATTAAATGGCTTTGTGCTATGAAATTTTAACTCTGCAAAGTCTTAGTGTCTTGCTGTAAACACTGATGAAAACAAATCCTGTTGATGCTTTCCAGGGGTGTTGTGGTTCTTGGAGGGCGAAGGAGCACATTTTGTACTGCATTTCCATTTCTCGTATCCTGTTGAGCACTTTTAAATTTTTTTGCCTGAAGAACATCTTATGAAAACATTCTTTAAGAACACCACCACATAAAATACCCCTTTATTATCAGATTGCTCTGATTTAGCCTTAATTTTGTTAAACTTTTTAGAGATGAACGAAGTGCTGCTGTGGAAAGAAATGTACTATATACTATTTCTGTATCATTAAAATGAAATTTTTATGGTTCCTTTTTCTCAATTCTTTGGGGATGGGTCTTGGGCGATGGGAAAGCTGGAACTCAGTCTTCTCCAACTTTGGTCGCGTTTGCCACGGGGCCAGCATGGAAGACCCCTTTGGAAAGTGCCATACCTGGCGCATCTGTCCATGTTAAACCTCATGAACCTTCCACTGTCAGTACAGTTGTTTAAGCCAACCTCCCACACTACCCGACCTGGGATATGCACCAGGGCTTCCTGGGGCCATGCGGTTTCTGCCCAGCCTGCATTTCCCAGCTCTGATCCTAATGAAAGTCCTACCCTCAGTCTCTCATGCCCTCCCTGGAGGCGTTGTGCTCACCCCCCAACATGGCACCATGCTATTTACTGCAGAACAGGTGTTATGGCCGTACAGTTGCTGAGGAGGCAAGAAAGTGCTTTACGTCTCTGTCATACCCAGAGGGGTGATCACATGGCATTATAGAGACTAAAATGGACTCCAGTTTTCTTCTAGGTAATAGAACAGGAGTTTCTTAGAGACTGTCAATTATCATTCCAAAGTAGGAAAGCTAGAATGGTCTGAGTTATAATATTGATATTCACAGTGCATTCAAGTAAGTTTCTGTAGCTAGGTATGGTGATGTATGCCTATAATTATAGTGCTGTAGGAGGCTGAAGCAGGAGGATTCCAAAGTTGAATCCAGTCTGGGCAACTTAATGAGATCCTGTCTAAAAACAGAAGAGTAGGATGGAGAGGTTGAGGTTGAGTTCAGTGTGAAGGTCCTGTGTTTAATCCTGCTCTAGTTCAGTAGGTCCCAAACTTAGAAACAAGTTCCTTTCGGGGACAGTGTTCTAGGTTGGATCCGACAAAGTGAGTCTTAACTATTCAGTATCCCTGTGAAAGTTCACAGCTCAGATGTTCCCAAGTTGGGGACCTACTGTGCTGTAAAACAAACAGCAACCAAACTCCAAGGTTTCTGTTGAAAAGTCCGAAACCTACAGCCGTATGTACACTCTGTTGATAAAACAAGGCCGCCGAAATCACTGGTCGTCTTTGCCAGTGTCAATGGCTGGGCTGCATCCTCAGAGATTCCCATACTTCCTGCTTCTGGGCTGTTAGTGTGGCAGTGATCGTCTGTGTACTTGTGCCCACCTGTGGGTCTTAACAGTCTAGTGAGAATTAGTCCTGCCACGGAGGGCTGTCTGCTCAGAGGCACCCCTGCCCTGTCCCAGTTCTCTTTACAAGTCTTCTCACGCACATCATGTCTCGTCACAACCTGAGCAATGTGGGTACACTGCCTGGAGCATGGTTCTCCATCCTGGCTGCAGGTGGGGTCCACACAGGGAGGCTCGGAAGACACTGGCACTGTGCCCACCCCAGGCTGATGGGACTCTCTGAAGATGGGGCCAGCAGTGGTATTTATCTCAGTAAATGTGCTTCAGCTGGTTTTTACCCAAGCTGTCTGCACTGGTCCAGCATGCAGCAGAATGGGGGCTGTCACCAGAGGGATGGAGTTTCCTGGGGGAGACAGCACCTACTTATCATTCCCTGGTGAGCTTCATGCTCATTGAAGGGTTTTGGGCGTGGATAAGCATCAGGTCAGAGGCAGGCAAACTCTCATGAGCTCTTGGCTTCAGAGTCAGTGTGGTGGAGGCAAGAGAAAGGGTTTGGATGCAGGAAGGGAGTTTCTCACCTTTAAGGCCAACCTTGATGGAGTATCACAATGATGTGTTATTGTTATTCGGGAAATAGTTCAGAGTGTGTGTAGATTTCAGATGTCATAAACTTTAGATAGCACTTTAAAAAGCCCAGCAGGTTGCTAAGGAAAGCAGGTAGAAGAGTCCTTTGGAAAGGGTTGTTTTAGGCCAGCCCTTGGAACAGTCAGTCACACTTGTTGGTGACTGTTTTGCAATAATAAATTCTATTGGTGAGAAATTATTTCTTGGGTCCAGTTAGAGCAGTCTAATAAACCAAGACATAACTGTATATCATGAAAATTTAGTAATTCACACAGCAGGGGTCCCCTTGTCAGCAAAGCAGTGAAAATTGGCAAGTCTTTGGACCTTCCCATTTAGTTTATGATAGCTCTCAAAACAGCCCTACCAGTAGCACCTAAATCTGAGTTAAATGCTACCCTTTCCAAAGTATGTAGCTGAACATTTGAAGAGCTGGCAATGAGGTACACAGGGATGCTCCCTCCCTGTATAGTTCACCCCTGCAATCCCCTTCCCAACCTTCTGAGGCTCAGAGCCATCTGCAGGGTCCAATCTATGCATTCATTGGATTGGGGCAGGTCTTACCAGCTCATGTACTGAATGCAATCAGGTCTGGGACATGAACCATGGCTGCTTGACTATAGGTTCTAATTGGTTACAGAGAGGTGTGCTGTGCAAGGAGCTGCTGCAGACTGGGATGATGAAATGGGAATGTATATATTTTTTATGAAACAGTGTTTTACTGATTTGGCCCATCTCTGTAAATGTTAGACCATATTTCTAAACTGTATCCTGCAGACTGCGCATGACCATGGGATGGACTGAGCACAGCTTCAGTGACTGCTGGAGGGTCCCCTCAGACAGACCTCCAGCACAGTGGCAGGAGTGTGCTGCCAAGTGTGTGGCAACCAGACCTGGGGACAGGGAGGAGGCTGTGGTTTGTAGCCTTTGCCAACTGTGTGGTATAAACAGACACACAGTGAATTGCAACTACCAAGTGACATCTTTGGGAAGAGAGCACAGCAGGATTAACACATGAGGATTTAGCATTTCCACTGTACAGGCACGACTATAGGTACCATCTCTGTATCAGTGGAACCCAGCTGCACCCACTCATGCACACTGCCTGTGGCTGCTTTTGCACTTCGGGGGCAGAGGGCAATAGTTGTGACAGATCTGCATACCTAAAGTACTTTCTGCCTGGTTCTTCACAGAAAATATTTGTGTATGCCTCTGTCATAGACAATGGTAAAATGTGAAATAATTGGGAAATTGATTTTGAGTACTTCTGACTATTTGGATATAACTTATGACTTCTAAATTCATACAATGTAACATTAATAATAGATGTGTTTAAGAAGTGGCTTCTGATGTTCCTGAAAAATTTTAATGATTGGCTTTAGGAGCCATGGGAATAGCCCTGATTTACAATGATCACCATTTCAAATGCACCTGCAGGCACTTCTAGGCCCTTTTGTTCTTCCTTTTGCCCCACAGTGCTTATTCGCTGACCGAGTGGTTACTGTGGTCTCAATACTAGAAGCCAGGATGGCCTCTGATGAGTTCTCTTTAGCACCTTGATCAGTCGTCTGCACAAAGCGAGTGGTGAAATATTTACTAAATGAAGGAAGGAACTTGCAGCCCTTTGTGAATAGAAGCTATGCTGCCTTTCACTGTTGTAATGTGGCTCGAATTGGATCACTGCCCCTATCTCTTTCGAGAAAGTACAAGAGGTCCAGTCTCTGGCTCCCATACAATGGCTCCTCTCAGAAGTGGAGACATCGTAGAACTTCCCCATAAATGCTTGTCACCGTGCCTGGCACTCAGAAACTCCTCTGAAAGACAAGTTGCAAGTCTAATCAACGAGCCTGATTGCATCTCTCTTCCATTTTCCAGGTCGTTTTTTCAGGCTATACTCAAATCTTTCGATTAAGACATAGGCTTTCTTGGGCAGCTTGCCCTTCTGAGTGCAGCGGTGCCATCTTCTGGTCATTATACATTATTACAGTGTCCTAGATCTTGGCTTCCAAGTGGAGCAGCCGGACTCCAGATTTGGGGAGCAGCTAGTGATTTTTGAAAGTAAATATGACAGATCTATACAGAGGATTACAAATTACATACCACTGGGGCTAGGCTTCCTCCGGGTCATTTCAAGGAAGCTAGTTGGCCTTGGCCGTTTCTGCTTTTGATTCTTTTAACTGGCTCTGCCCGGTCTGTATCTTGGGCTCTCTGTATTGATGGGATTTAAAATGAGATAGCGCCATCTACTGGGTGATTGCAGAAAGGTCGGTTGTGAAGTCTTGACTTCTGAGAAGAGAGCATTGCAAATCCGCAGCTTTATGAAAGAAAGCAGGTAGGTAATAGGATCCTGAAATCACAGCCCTTAGTGGGTGTGCATTTCTCGATGTACGCTTAACTCTGCTGCGCTAACTTCCCTACAGGCTCCCATTGTGAAAATTAACTACATTCTCATGAGCATTTCTAACGTGACCTGTAGACCAGAGGCCTAAGAGTTACAGGGAGACAGGGTTGCACGCTCAGAAGATCCATGGAAAACCAACAGCCCCAGCTTCCCAGGACAGAGCCCTGGAACCTTCATCTTGAACACGTCCACTAACTTCACCAAGTGGGAAGAGCCACTGCCATACCTATGGCCACTGAGGCCATTCCTTTTTCATTTTCATAGAGTTTGTATTTGGATTGAGACTTGCGTAAACTGCTTTTCATGCAAGTGAGAACAGGCAGCTCATATAGAGCCACAGTACCCACCGGTCCTCACTTCGCTCTGTGCAAAGTGAAAACAGACCCAAACCCCCAGACCAGATGTGACACACAGCAGAGTGCTCATGGGTAACTACTGCTACTTTCCCATGCAGGTGTGAGGCCAGCCAAGGGCCTCCCCAGTGCCCATCCTCCCTGCTGTGCCTGGGCGGAGGAGGAAGAACCATTCATACTTCCCTGGCCAGCTGTGCTTGCCTGGTACCTCTGGATCTTCTCCCTGAGCAGGAGTTACTGCAAACTGAATCTCTTTGGGCCTGGTTTCTCCATCCCTCACATAGAGGAAAGGCCCATAGCCTGTACTGCCCTGTCCAGCTCTGCCATCTGGGGCTTCCGTCCCAGGGTCATTTCATGTTCACATGATATATATGCTGATTCTTTCTGAGATCACTAATTTCTCTCGCTTTGGTTCTTCTTCAGCCCTTCCCCCTGGACAACTGCGCACAGATTCTGAGTCACATGGGTGTGTAATCCATGTGTGCTTACTTTTCAAAAGTCTTGATACCTAATACCAGCACGTTTATTACTGGTAAACTG